CCACCACCACCACCAAAACATTAGCAGCTATTTTAAAAAAAAGTACCGTCATTTGAATTATAAAGAATACTGGCAGGGTTGATTGATGTGTGACTCTGTTTAATTCCTGCTTTTAGTTGTCCAAAAGAAACAAAAAAAAAATTTTTGGAGTAACTATACCATCTTTGAGGTTATCATAAGTCCTATGTACGTCGACTTTTTTGTTATTTTCCAGCAGCGTGTTCTTAGGCAAGTCTCTGAAGCCTCTCACAGCCTTGGTTTACCACTGTGCAGAATGGGTAACTAGTTCACAAGTGTTCAGTGAAACTCGCCTTGCGTAATGTGTAAGCACCTTCTGTTCCCAGGGTGAAAGGTAATGCAGAAATGTGAAGAAATGTTACTCCACTGCTGTTGTTGAAATGGTTTAACTTGATTTTTTTTTTTTTCTGAACCAGACCAATTGTACAGTGGAATTCTGTAGTCTAAGTCAGTTGCTGCCTTTCAGGAGGGTGCCTTTTAAAAATGGACCAGTTGTTGGATGAGAAAGTAGGGGAGGGAGGTTATTTGAGCTGCAGCTTGCTGCCAGAAAGTACTGGTGCAAGCCTTTTGTCTCACATAGGGAAGGAGTTAAAAATACACATATGGACATAGTGATAAGACCTATCCTGAATCTGCCACAAAAAAATGTTCAAACCCAGGATAGGTGGTGTTACTTGTAAGCTTCAAACACTTTTTGCTCTGTATCTCTGGTGGAGCGTCACTGAGAGAGATGGTGAATAAAACTATGAATTCCAAAGCTCTAGGAAGGCCGTGATAATTACTGAAGGGCTCAGCTTCATACTGATCTTTATCCTTACGCATATGAACATACCATATTGCTCTAAAATTTTTTAGGCTGAATTAATAGCAACATTGGTAGAAAGAACCACCCACCTTTTGTCAAGCGCTGTCTGAAAAGTTATTTGATTTTTTTTTTTCTCAATTGACAACTGAATTTGACACTTTTAGGGAGTAGTAAGAGTGAGCTTCTCCACAACAGAGCTGAGCTGGGAGTTGACAGCAAGGCAAGCAGGGCAGTGTCATCACCCATGAAGGAACAATCCCACAGTACCTGAACAAAGAGAGCAGAGCAGGTCCAGTGACAGTAAACAGGGTCAAGTGAAGAGTTCAGATCTCCAGGTGAGTCTGTAGTGATGAGCCAGGTCCAAGATCAACCCAGAAAGTCACATCTGTGGGTCAAGATCAGTGAGGTACCTGGCCAGATACAGGCATCGGTAATGTATCTCAGGCAAGGACCAAGGGCTTAAACACATTCTAAGTTTTAGCATAGCTCCCAAGCGAAGGCGGGAGGAGCCTAACAAGGCTTCTCCCAACTCTCTCACACAGCACTGTCACCACAGTCTTACCCAAGGTGACACAGTTGTGCCATGTTAGAGCTGGCCTTGAGCCCAGATGGCCAAACCCATGGGTGGAAAGAGTTTGCAGTGCCTCTTCGTGCACTCAAGGCCCTGACAGAGACTTGGAAAAAATACGTAAAAATGTACATTTTTACATCAAAATAATCATTCTTTGTATTTTAATGAGAAGTCAAATAAGGCATAAACCCCTTAATAGGAAATGTAGTTTGTATGTCTCCTATCTCTAACTTTTGGACAGTTTCTCAGCTAGATCCTATTTCTCATGACATGTCACTAACAGGGTTGCCCATGCCAGCTTGGTGAGGATGTCTGGCATGTGCTAGGAGAGGATAGTCTAGTGACACTGAGCTTTAGAAGAGAGGAGGGGCACAAGACACCCGAACTAGAGTTACTGGGAGACACTAGCAAAATTTTGAAACAAAAACTTTCATTTTTACTTGAAATTTGGTAGCAAATTCCAAGACAGCTTTTCATTTTCCCTTCACAATGTTGCCATTTTCCACAAGGATCGAGAGACTTAAGAGACTTTATCAGTATGGTAGCTGCTACTTGTTATCTAAGATGAGTTTCAAAACCAACAAGCCATTAGGTGATGAGTGTCCTCAAGTAGTTACATGAAACTGAGCAACAGGAGTCCATTTGTGCCCTTGAAAATCCTGATGTCCATGGTCCAACTGCTATGTAATTCTGGCTGACACTGATGCCAGTACAAATCATGGTAATCTGGCATTCTTCAGAAGGAATATGTTAAGTAATAGAGGTAATTCATTTTTGCTGCACCAAAATAGCAATGGGATAGCATTACTTACTAAGATTCTCTGATTTAGTAAGGATGAAAAGCCTGTTTTAAAAAGTAAAAGTTCAAAATATTTACATGCCTGTACTTTAGGCTTCTAAATCCACAATTAGAATCACAGAATCACAGAATCGTTAAGGTTGGAAAAGACCTCTAAGATCATCAAGTCCAACCGTCAACCCAACACCACCATGCCCACTAAACCGTGTCCCTAAGCGCCTCATCTACACGTCTTTTAAATACTTCCAGGGATGGTGACTCAACCACTTCCCGGGGCAGCCTGTTCCAAGGCCTGACCACTCTTTCAGTAAAGAAATTTTTCCTAATGTCCAGTCTAAACCTTCCTTGATGCAACTTGAGGCCATTTCCTCTCGTCCTATTAGTCATTTTAAATTTTAAAAAGACCTGCTTCTAAGGAGGCAAATTTTGCTTTCATTCAGTCTTACTGGGTTTTTGTAGCTGCTGTGCTTTTCTGGAAATTAAAACCACTTTTCTTTAACGGGGAACTTTTCAAAGCCACAGAGAACAATTAAGCACCAAATTTTTGTCCTCTTGTTAATAATCTTTTTAAGCTCTCCATTCAGGGATGCATTCTTAGGGTTAAAGTGGACTTAGAGGCAGAGGGGTGGACTTCTCTCAGAAACAGTTCTGTAAAGTGTGTCTGAACAAGCAGTTAAGACTTACGACTAACGCACAGGATGGATGCCACCTGGAATGACTAAATTTAAACTTGAGATTCTGACTGTTTTTCAGCATTTACATTTTAAATGGCTGGCCACGGATAGCTTAGGAGTTAGCCTGAGCATGCTGACATGTACATGTCAGAAATTGTCATCAAAGGATTGTTATGATTAAAAAGAAAAAAAAAGTCATAGTTTTGATACTGAGGAAAGTTAGAGCTGGAGGTCAATGGGCTGATGTCCTCCATAGATTGAAGATTATGTCAGGCTCAACATACAGTTTTGTACAAAGTCTGTTTCCTTGTCATTAATTCATGCTTTAAGGTATGCAAAAGCAATTCTAACTACTTGCAATAAGACATTACATTTGCAACAGTACTGTGCAGCTTTTTTTTGTATCAAATCAGCTTTTTTTTTATCAGCTTTGTTTTTTTCTAAAGAAAACCTGTAATGTTGTTTTCATTTTTCAACCTTGTATGAAATACACCTGGAAGTCATTCACCTATTATGATAACCAGAATCATAATGCTTTTTTCAAGTTCCTTGTTCATTTCCTCTGCTATTCTAAAGTGCACTGATTTTTAGTATAATCTATGTGTTAGGGAAGGCAGGGGGTTCTACTATAGAGGATATCAGTAACTAGAGAGCAAATGATTGCCTCAAGTTTAATTTGCTTTCATAGTGGTAAGGCATTCAACTGGAATGACTTCCCCCCCACAGCTTTTTAAAGATCAGGTTCCCAATGAATAGAGGTGGGTGGATATGCAGATAGCTTCTAGCAATGCAGTTTTTTAATTTATATTTTAAACATAGATAATTCATTCTTATTTAGATGCTAGAAGCAGGGTAATGTTGGCGGATTTTGAGGTTATTTATTTTAGCTTAAGAAATCATTAAAAATATCTTTACAGGGATATTTACAAAGACCATAATTGAGCTTTTCTAATTAACATTTTGCTACAAAGGAAAGGTTTTATATAACCTGAATGCAGTATGTTTACTTAGTTAAAGCTTTTTGATTGGTGGTGCTTCAATAAAGTTCCCACAGTTCTCTCTAGCTTTCCATACTTTAGATTTTCTCTGCATAGTGCATTAAGGTAAGAAGATAGCTTCTGTAAAGATTGACCTAGTTTTGTACAGAATCACAGAATAGTTGAGGTTGGCAGTGATGTCAGGAGACTGTCCAGTCCAACTCCCCCTTTCAGAGCAGGGTCAGCTAAAGCAGGGTACTCAGGACTATGTCCAGTCAGGTTTTGAATATCTCCAAGGATGGAGATTCTACAGCCTCTTTGGGCGACCTGTTCCAGTGTTCAATGACCCTTCCTGTGAAAAACCTTTTTCTTTTGTTTAAATATTTCTTGCATTCAATTTGTGCCCATTGCGTCTTGAACCTTCACTAGATACCACTGGGAAGAGTTTGCCTCTGTCTTCTCTACTCCCTTTCATCAGGTTATTTATACACATTGATGAGATCCTCCCATGAGCCATCTCTTCTCTAGGCTGACCAGTCCCAGCTTTCTCAGCCTTTCCTCATATGAGAGATGCTCCAGTCCCTTAGACATCTTTATGGCCCTTCACTGGACTTGCTCCAGTGTGTCCAGGTCTGCCTTGTACCGGGGAACGCAGAACAGAATCCAGCAGTCCAGGTGTGGCCTTAACCGGGGCTGAGTAGAGGGGAAGGATCATCTCCCTCGACTTGCAATCACTCTTCCTAATGCAGCCCAGGATAATGT